CTGCTGAGACATCATCTCTCCAGATCCTCTTCTGATTTCCAAAAAGCGAAGCCCAAAATAAATATTTTGAGTTAATTTTCCTGATTTAAAACTGCTGGCTTGGACTGAGGATATTGCTCTGTTGTAGAGAGCTTGCTTAGCATATACAAGGCCTTGGGTTCAATTTCACAGCACTACACATAAAAGTTGGCTTAATATTTGCATTTTAAGTTTTTAAAGACTTGAGAACCAGATGGGTTCATGGCCACCAGGTCTTTCTATCTGCCCATGCGGTCTGGCCTCATGTCTACCCTATGTCCAGAGCTGCCTCTCAAATGTCAACTTCTCTTCCCTTCACAGAAATAATGTGGGTCTTCCTCCTCTAAAGTTTCAACCATAATACTAAACATTCTCTCACTTACCTCCATTTATATGGTGGTATGCTATGTGTGTGATTTTTGATTAATACGCATTATGAAAGAGCCAGAGGCATGCCTGGTTTGTGCCAGCAGCCTGACTCACTTAACACAAGGATGCTTACACTGATTAAATGGCTAATAAGTTATTGCCACTGAATACTGGACCATGTTATAGACTTGTTTTAACAGCATATTTACATTCTTAATTCTACCTTAAGCTAAAATTAATAGGTTTGCATTTTTCAAGTAAACTGTAGAAGCTAGCTGTTTATATGTCTGCTAAGTAAGAGGATTAAGTGGGGCTGAGATTTACAATTTGAGAAGAAAAGGCTACATGTGAATAATTAGGAGTTACTAATTGGTTAAGAACTTAAAACTTCTTTTTTTTTTTTTTTTTTTTTTTGTGGTGATAAAAGTGGAGGAGTGTCCCAGTTCTAAATGAAGTCAAAGGATGTTTTTAGAGATCATAGCCACACTCAGGGCAGGAGCAACTATTTTTTAAAAATTCCATAAAAGGAAATAAATAAGCAAATGATCAAAAAAAACAAAAACAAAAACAGAGCAACCCAAAAACTCTGTACCACTGGGCCAACAAGAATGGGACAGATCCCCAGTAGATACTTGGCTGTTCTTTGGCCAAGTAAACCTGGGGCCTAATCAAGGGTCACAAGGGCAAGTGCCAGAGAAAACTCTGAAAAAGTCACCTCAAGGACGCATATTTCAAAAGCACTTCCAAGTGTCAGGCCAGTGTAAGAGTAACCATAGCAAGGCCTTGAAAGTTAATGATGAAGACAATGCCTTGATGAAGGCTCTATATGCTAGGCACTAGGGAAACCCCGCAAATAGAGAGGGCTTACACTGTTTGAATTTCATATCTTAGTACACCCTTTTTATCCTCACAATAGCCCATGAGACAGGCAACATTATCAATTCTATTGACAGACTTAAGCTATGAGAGATTAAGTCACTTCCTCAAAGTCACATGGTTCGTTAATGGCAGAGCTAGGGCTCAAAACCCGGCTGCTAACCCCTACTTGTGATTAGCCTTCTCTGGGCTCATCACATCTCGAAGATTAACTATCTAGTTATTGTCCTGTCCGCGGGGCCCGAGAAAGGTCCTGGATTGCCCAAAGGCCCATCTCAGGAACAGCAGAGACAGCTCTCATCTTATCACACATCTGAACTCCGCGTGTCACTCGGGCTCCGCGTTCTGCTTCCTTTGTTCTGATGTTCGGTGATAACCCAGGGCAAGAGGTTTCCACAGTGAGCACATGCCCTGGCTTGGCAAGTTATTTAGCCTTGCTCAACTGGACTAGCAGCTGGATTCCCACAAGTCAGGTGGCCTAGAACTGACCCTCCCTGGTTAAAGGCTTCAAACTCTAACCCCTTCACAAGAGAAGAAGCTAAGGCGATTGTGCTGGTAGACTCTCTTGAGCCAGGTCAACGGGGAAGTCAGCAGGTTACTATACATTCACGGCCTTGTTTTCTTCCTGTCTTTTCTAGCATTCCCGTGACAGGGCTGTCATAAAGTGGCCACTAATGCTGTTTATGGGAAATGTAAAGTCGGAAGAATCTGCTTACTGGCTCTTTGTAAAGGTGATTTCCTGCCCGGTGACCTCATTGGTCAGGGAACTGATAAGTGAGTCTTCTCTGTGTTCATTTGAAACAGAAGTAAAAACTGGGCCACTCTCCCTTCCTCCTATTTTGAACAACTGTGATATTTAGGCCTGCCCAGGCTGTATGATTTCATTGCCTGGAATTTGGTGGGTTCCAATACAATTTTTTAAAAAAAAAAAAAAAAAAAAAAAAGAAAAGAAAAAATCAAATAAATAAACTGAGATTTGAAATTATTTCCATTATTTGAGATTTTTCGTCATCGCTGAGTTGAGACTGTAGACGTGTTGGAGATCCCTAGAACAGCCCAGTTCATTCACACAGAATCAAGGCTCTCTAAAAGGACTGTGGGAATACCCATTCCCCACTCTCTCAGAGACTTGCTTAGGTGAGTCAGAGCCTGCTGTCCTTCTGTGATTGCTTACCCATCTGTAAAATTCGAATAATAAGTCTTGCCTCCAGGCAGCCAAAAGTTCTTGGTGACCTTAGATGGAGATACTTGATACGGATAAATGGCAGGAACAGTGGTGATCAAACCCAGAAGATGAAAGGAGAGGGAGAGAGGTCTAATCGCCACGCTCTGTTTTCCCTCCTCCTCATTATTCAAGATAGCAAAGCTTAGGAATGAAGTGGTCGGGAATAGAATGCGGATTCCGAAACTTCTCCCAGGACTGCTGCTATCTCTTGGAGCCAGTTCCTAACCTCTGGTGGGAGCTGGCTAAGAAGACACATTTCTCACGTGGTCTCCTTGCGCGATACACACAGGGTAGAGCCCTCATGATTTCAGGCTGGAGGAGGAGAGCCAAGTTGCTATGGAGCCTGGTTTCTAGAAGGTGATGGGCCGCTGGTACCACTCCGTGTCGGTGTTCAGAAGGGGCCTGTTTGGGGGTGGGGGTGGGCTGTGACGAAAAAGTTTCTTTTCTGAAAACATTTGAATTTACGGCTTCTCTGCTAAATATTTCTGAGAGGTCAGACTAGCTGCTAGTGAATGACAGAGACATGTTTGCCCTGTTCAACTGAAAAGAATAGACTTTCGCATGTTTAAAAATAAGCAGGGAAAAAACCACCCCCAAAACAAACAAACAACAACACCCCCCCCCCCCAAAAAAAAAGCAAATTAACAAAGCAGTGACTCCCAGAATAGGAACAGAAGGGAGGGGAAAGTTCACAGTCTTAAAGGACTGGGCATTTGGAATACTTGGTCCTTCTCGTCCTGTGGGATAAAAAGTGACTTGCTGAGACCGGAACTAGGAAATGAAAACAATACCGCTCATGAATGCCACGGGTCTGGGTCAGTGTAGGTGAGGGTGGCGGGTTACCATGGACCTTTCTCCAACACCCTTGATGGCTCTGGCCCTGTGGTTCTAGTTTTGATTTAGCCACAGGTTTTCAATGAGACCACAAGGGAGAAGGAGCATCTATAACAAAGAACGTGGAAGTGAGCTTCAGAACTGACCAGCCAGATCACTCTTCCAAGCCGCAGCACCTTCACCCGTGGTCAGAAGGAGTTGTCCAAAATGACTTCAAAAGTTCCTGGTCTCACTTAAAACAACAACAACAAACAAACAAACAAAAACAAAAAACCCAAGTCTAAGGTATTTTGAGAACAAAATACTGGTGTCATGTTCAACGGCTTCACCTTTTCTAAGAAGTCTGTGCACACAGTACTACCACCCAGCAACCCTTTACACCCGAAGACAGTGTAAATGTGGGGTCCCTTTTCTGATAACAGATTTCTCTCCAGATCAGGGCTTTTTCCCCCCCTTAGTCTGTTTTACCTACTACAACCCATAAGGACCAACTTCTAGCACACACCACTTCAAGTCAACAAGTCTGAGCGGTAGCATGGAACTGGAAGGGAATCACCATCCCTTTGATTCCTTTCCTCCTGTTACAGACCGGGTTAGGGGAGCTGCTGAGCTGTGGCAGACATTTTTCCAGTGGGTCTTCTGTTTGATGTAGGGAGACAGTTAGAGAGTCTTAGCTGCCCCAGTGGAAAGACGAAATAGAGGAAACTTTCAGACTGCTTCCCCTCCGTTTTCCAAGCAGTTCTACACAGCCTCTGTTGGAGGCTCCTCAGTTTTTACTGCCTGACGCAGAAAGGCAATTTCAACAGCCACAGCTGAAGAAGACAAATGAGACACTGGCTGGGACAGTAGTTTCAGAACAAAGATTCAAGGTGACCTACAAGTTCCATGAGGCCACAGGGCAAAAGTATCAAATAAAGAGATCGGGAAGGCTTAGACATTTATTCTCCAGCAAAATTAATTTCCTTGGGGGCTTGCAGTTCACTAAACTGAACCTGTGAACCAGCTGTATTTAGTGTGCACTCTACTTCCTTGGGTCTCTAAAATTGACAATTGTCTGTAGGTCAAGTTCCAACGGAAGTGACATTTTTGACCTAGCTCTATAAATAGAGTACTGGAAAAAACCATCAGCTGCACCGACTGGCCCGGGAACCACACTCTATCTATCAAGCAACTGTAGTGTCTGGGCTGCCATTTAAGACGAGTAAAAAATAAATATTGTGTTATTTATAATCTTCTGAGTTTTGAGAGTCTCAAAATACTTGGAAGCTATGAGTCTCTCAGATTTACAAATAAAAGATCTGGGGCATAAAACCATGCAACAACGGCCTCACCCAACACCATCTGCTCACAGCCCAGGGCTCTGCTAGAGGATCAGGCCTCTTGGCTTAGGGAAAGGGGAAACTTGCATCTCCAGGGTCTCTTAGCTGGAGGAGAGACAGATGACGGGTGCCCAGTGTCTGCTCCTATCACACACGCAGCCTGACTCGAGCTTCAGTAATAGTTGTTACAGCGGAAACTAAAAACTGTGAAGCAGAAATCATAAAAGGTGGGGTAATCAGCACCTCTGGAATGCAAGATTTAGAGGTGGATTAATCTCCCGTAGCAGCAGGTGGAGCAGAAGTAGGGTGGAGCTGGGGGAGTGAGCTAATGGCTAGGACGGAGCCTGGTATGCGCTGGCACAAATCCCTCCCAACAGCTCCGCTGGCTTTTGTATGGGGAGAAGACACTTATAATTTCCTCGAGTCCTGGGATGGTCGTGCAAGTTATTATCCAATCAGGATACTTTTGAAATGGAGATGGGGTCATTTTAGTCGTAATGGGACAGCAGAGATAAATTGGGGCTGTTTTGAGTGAACACAGGTGGTCATCTTATTAGGGACACCATGGAAGAACTGTCTGGAATCAGGTGGAGGAGGCTCACTCTTAGAAAAGGTCAGTCTGAAAACCATTCCATCTGGCAACAAAACCACTCTTGACTATGTAGGGCTTCTCGGCGGTGCTTGCAATGACAGGCACCAATGTCCTTAAACATAGCTAGGAAAAAAAACAGCAGAAAATCCCAGCATCTGGGTAGTCCTGCTGGTTCAGCTAGCTGGCAATGCTCCCCAGGAGGCTCCCAGAGCTCCCCGCCCCCAGGACTACCACTTTGTTCCTGTTACTTTCTAGTTGATGGGAAAGTCCTGAAGGGTGGCCGGTAACTAAGTCGTCTCAACTCTGAAAAGAACTCGGGTGTGCAGGTGTGCACATCCACACACCTGTATAGAAGCCAGAGGGGGCTTCAGGTGTCTAGTGAGTCACTCTGTCTTCCACTTTTTCCATTTTCCATTGAACCTGGAGCTAGGCTGCCAGCCCCAGTGATCCTACGGTCTCCACCTTCTTCAGTGCTGCGTTACAGGCTGGTCCGGCCATGCCCAGGTTTGGATGTGGGTGCTGGAGACCTGAACTTGCAAAGCAAGGGTTCTTATCTGCTGAACCATCTTCCCAGTCCCGAGAAGAACTTTTAATTAACAACGAATTCACTTAAGAGAGTGAACACACACACACACATACACACACACACACACACACAAAATCCTTAAGCCAACACTAGTGAAAGAAAGCAAAAACTAAACTATTTAAAGAAACCTGAAGCACATTTAAAAAAAAAATTCATGTTCATTTAAAATAAGGCAGGATGTTTACACGAAATATCCCTTGTCCCCAAATGTATTTCTATCCCCTTGCTGTAAATTTTTCAAATTGCACTTAACAGCTGCCGTGGCCTGAGCTTTGTTTTTCTGGCCCCATCCTGGTATCTGAGGCGGCAGGAGGATACTGGGGTTGCATTCTCAGTAAATCTGTATTATGCATGGTCATCATCTCAGTTTTTGACCATCTGATATTTGTTTCGGGAAACATTGGCTGGTGGAGAAGGAACACAGCTGTTTAGTCTGACATCAGATTGGTTAGAACCCTGACTGCTGGGGTGAGAAAAAATACCCTCAGACATGTGCATTCAGACAACTGTCTTTGAAGAAAGCTAGGAAAGGGTTTTGTTTTGTTTTTGTTTTTTAAAGAGGCCTATCCTTTATCAGTTTCTCTTCCTGGGGAGACGTAAGCCATAGAGGAGAATATCTGGGAGCTGTACATATTTCAGGACCTAGTTTGAACAGTGAGAGAGCCACATGACAACCCACTTAACTGAAAAGCAAGGGGATTCTCTGGAAACTGTGCTTTGACTTTGGGGACTCGGCTGACAAGGAAACGGACATGCCAAGCCTGGGGGCCAATTCCTTCATGTTTAGCTCATGTAGACCCAGACCTGCGTCAGCAGCTCCTGCTTCAGGCCTGCATCAGCTTATTGGCTCTGCAAGCAGCAAGGACAGGCGGCAGAAAGAAATGTGATTTATCAGGAAGTATATTCTTGAAGAAAAATATTTCCGTGAAACTGGTTTCAAGTGACTTAAAAGATCCTAATATACAATGACATTTCAACTAAACACAGTGTCTAATCCTGGACTGAACCCTGGAAAAACCTGCCACGGGAGTATTACTGGGACACCTGGAAAAGATTAAATACTGCCTGTATATTAGATTACAGTGTTGTATCAATGCTAATTTCTTGGGTGAAAGAATAAACGTATTATGGCTATATAAGAGAAATTGTTGTCCTTGGATGACAAATGAAAGTCTCTGGGGATGGAAGATCATGACATCTATGACTTACTGTCAAATGCTGCCACAAAGACAATAACAACTTAATGATATTAAAAAAAATAGATGGCTAAGGACAATAAGCAAGGAAGAAGGAGCAGGTGAGGCAGCATGCGAGCAGCCTAGGAGATGGGTACCCAGTTCACTGTTGTTTTCTTGAAACTTGCCTGTATGTAAATTACTTGTGAGAGATGGACGTGGTGAGTCGTAACAGCAGGATGCTGGGTAGGGTCAAATGTGTGTTTTTCACATCAGAATCACCTGGTTAACTCTCTAAGGCGTTGAATCCCGGGTCCACTCACAACTATGCACACACACACACGCATGCACACACACGCACACACATGCACACACACACACACACACACACACACACGAACGCACGCATGCACCTCATCAAAGGAGTTTGCATTTCTGTTTTCAATGGCCCAGGTGTGTTTGCACTGGGAAACCTTCAGTGTCTTGTGACATGGCTCTGTGTCCTTCTCATCTTGGAGATACAGCTCTGGAGAATGCCCTTTGGCCCAGTGTTTAGAAATGTCGTCCGCTGACTTTTTCCTCATCTTAGCTCCCGGGGGAAGAGAGAGGAGAGATGTAAGTACTTTTCAGAGTGGCCATAACTCATCTGTCTGGAGCTGCTGTTGGAGGCGCCACCCAAAACATCCAGAAAGAGTGGAGGAGGGACAGCTGACAGCTTGTGGCATAAAACAGGCCAGGGCTAGACCGGGCCAGTCCCCTCATTTAGGGACCCTCATTAGGGACCTTCCTCAGTTATGCCCTTTGGTCTGAAGTTTCTCAAGGCACCAGCCAATGAGGTCCAGCTCCTCTGCCACTCAGGAAGGAACAGTGTTACTTGGAGTGGGGCTAACTAAAAGGGACAGGAGACAGATATTCCCAGGTGTCTCTACCTCTGAGGTTGCAAGGATAGCTGATAAAGTCACTGAAGTTTCTTTCCTTTGATCTCAAGACACGGGCACAATCATTACCTCTGCATTGAGAGGAGAAAGAGAAAGAGAGAGTCCCGGCCACTGAAACCCACCTTGCTGCAGGCAGATCTGCTGGCCCAGCTGCCTCCCTTCTGGCATCTGAGCGCGAACTGCTGTGGAGAATGTTATGCTTTTAATTATCACCTAGCATGAATGTGAGGATTTATTGTTATGCTTTCCTCCCACCCATCTCAATTGCCCCTTTGGGAAGCAGAAGGACTGATAGGAATCAGTATATACTCTTGCCTGGAGAGAATGGAATGTGGGCGTCACAAGTCTGCGGCCCCTGAAGGCACTGAGAAGGGGTGAGGGATAGGAGTGGATCCATGAAGGCCTCCCCAGTGTCCTTGCCAGAGCACGCTCACGTCTCATGCTGCCCTATCTACACGTGCTGCTCAATCTACACAGGCTGCCCGCTTCCCTCAGTGTGGCCTGCTTTTTTTTTTTTTTTAAACATCTGGAACCAGGTTTTCTTGATCCAAGGCTAAGGGAAGCTGCCAGACTTTTCTTCCGGAGGGTTGTACACACACATGAGGGTTCACATACATGTAAGAGGTGTCTTCCTCATATCAATATAAGGTTCACAACAAAGTAGGGCCACGGAAGAGAGGGAAACTCTTATTTGTAATAAGCATTCACAGTGAACTCTGGATGGAACGCTGGAGGGTCCCAACAATGTCTAGATAGTTAGTGTGAGTGAGTGTTGCATGTGTGTGCACGTGTGTGTGCATGTGTGTGCGTGCGTGTGCGTGTGTGTGTGTGTGCGCGCACATCTAAGGAGTGAAGGTAGTTTAAGGCAATGCAGAGAAGCTTGCTCCATATTCTCTACTTCCCTAGAGGCATCCCAGTCTCCAAGGTTTAGTCAAACAGTTTCAGAAAGCTGCCTCGTGGCAGAGAGGAACCTGAAAGGGAAAAATGCTGATGGCAGCGCAATTATTTCAACTGGGGGAACTGATTTCAGTGGGTCGTAGGCAGTTAGGACACATCTGCAAAACGTGAATTCCTAGGCAAAGTAATTTCCTTCTTCCTCACAGCCACTGTTTATCCAGACACGGGCTGAAACTCTGGGCTCTCTGAAAATGACCAGCATTAGGAGAGCGATCAAGACCACCAAGCTGTGTAAGGTGCCCTCCATCGCAGACATCGGCTGACATAACAGTAAAGACTTACGAGGTAACATTGTAGGATAACACGTGTGTTCCGGTGCGGGGCTAAACACCTTGACTCATATTGTCTCTGTGAGGGAGGTACCATCGTACCAATTTTCTAAGGGAGGAAGTTGAGCTGCCAAGAGAGTTATTTGCCCGAGGCCACTTGGCAAGTGGCAAAAGCCGGATGTGAGCCCCACAGTCTAACTCATCCTATCTCCTTTCATCATTTCCTTCTGGGAGGGAGAAGTTACTGACCCTCGGCCCACCCCGTTTTCCAGATATCCTTCTTTTCCTCAATAAACTGAAATATGTAATTTCTCACTCAGAGTCCTCTGTACCTTTCTAGAAAAGCATGTTTTAATAATATTCTGTCTCTATTGTTGGGGAATTAAGTCAAGAAATTGATACCAAAGAAAAATAAATCTCCAGGTTTTCTCCAACTGGAAATATGTGAAATAACCCCAGCTGCTAAAATCACGGCTGGCTTTCTTTCTATGATAATAATCTACACATCTGGATCACCTTCTTTGCCAGAAATATGCGATTATGTATCTCTTCATGTCTTTGGACATGCCTGTGTTTCATGACATCGCTAAGTAGAAGTGCCATGCTAGTCATTTCAATTTCCATTAGCAATCGCATGGCTTATTTTCATCGGTGTTAACGCTACAATGAAAAGTTGCAGAAGGTACATGTGATAGAGGTTAGAGCCCTGGAAAAAGGCAGCTAGGGACTACCTTGGGTAAGGGTACCAAGACTAACAATCTGACTTTAACTCTCAGAATTTACATGATGGAAGAAGAAGAAAACCAACTCCCATAGTATGATCACCTACCCTCAGGTTACCCCCAGCCTACCCCCAGCCTAGCCCCAGCCCACTACCAGCCTACTCCCAGCCTACCCACAGCCTACCCCCAGCCTACCCCCAGCCTAGCCCCAGGTTACCCCCAGGCCTACCCCCAGCCTGGCCCCAGCCTACTACCAGCCTACCCCCAGCCTACCCCCAGCCTACCACCAGCCTACCCCCAACCTACCCTTAGCCTACCTCCAGCCCACCACCAGCCTACCCCATCCTCAACCCGAAAACCATTTTGAAAGCCATTTAGCTCATTTATCCCATACTGTTCATGTGGGATAAGAAGATGGACAATAGTCATATCCAATACTCACTTTCAAGCATCTGTGTGTACCAGGAACTGTTAAAAAAAAGTCAAAAGCCCTTAGCCATGCTGACAATAATATGAAGTAGATCCTTCCATTACTCCCATTTTAAAGAGCATACAACTTTATCTTTATTTGTATAGCTAGCAAGTGGTAGAGCCAGGATTCAAACTCCTGCTGTCTGGCTCCAGGGCCTGTGTGCCAGCCTTCTGCTCAGTTCTGCCAGGCAGTGAGGCTGTGATCTTGGGTCTTGATACTTCCTATCACAGTAGCTGAGTTCAATCCTAAACAGCGGGCCATTACAGCCTCTGAAACAATGACGTCCATAAACTTTCCATGATTATTACCATAGGTTCATCATGTTTATGAAACATCAATGCACAAAGAAAAATCTCGTGGGTTAAGAACTGTTTTAAATAGAGGATTATCATCAGTCCTTAGGAAAGCTACATGCAAACGTCCCTTCACATCCATCCTTTGGACCAGGGTTACTGCCTGCATCTAGGAACTTCTGTAGCTGTCTAGGTCTATGGCTCTGTTCAAGATGAAAGACTCCACAGCGCTCTAGCTCTAAATTAGAACCAGCACAACAGGGGCTGAGAGATGGTTTAGCGGGTAAAGGGGCTTGCCCCAAGCCTAATGACCTGAATTTGATCCCTCGAACCCCCATGGCAGAAGGAGAGAACCAACTCCGGCAAGTTGTCCTTTATCTCCACAAACAACATACACATACACACACACACACACACACACACACACACACACACCAACAGCAGTGCTATAACAGCAGGCGGGACAAAATGATAACAAGACAAATGATACAAAACCTCAAAGGTGTAAAACTTTCCTTCAACTGATCACCAAGGGGAGAGTCTTTCAACAGGCAAGGGCCTGCCAGAAGGAATCTAATTTCATTCTTCTGTGTTTTACTTCATGATTGAAAAGTTTTCGATTGTCCTTTCCCACCCTTTGCAAGAGAATACCCAGAACACAATCCTAAACTTTAAAAGTAGAAGAGCTCACTTCCGAAAAGGATTTTTAAATAAAAACCCAAAATCCCACAGTGGTCACTAACCACTTTGGGGGTGGGGCTGAGAGTGGGGGCGGTCATCTTAGGAGACATTACTTTTACAGGGTGGGGAAGGAGACCAGAGCCACAAGAGAGAGGCAAAAGGAGGGCGGGAAATGATGGGATAAAGAGGAAGAATCGCTGGCTTTAAAAAGCAACATTGTCCAGAGAGGTGAAAGGGAACAGATGGCCGTGGAGAATGTGTCCCTCACAGACCCCGGAGAAAGGGCGATGCTGACAGATCTTGCTGTTTTCCATTGACGCCAGCATGTTCGGTGTTGGAGAGCTGAGGCCAGAGTACCCACCAGGCCTCTGTTCCCAGAAGCTCACTGGGGCAGAGGCACTGAGGCTCACGGAGAAAAAGAAAAGGAGTGGGCATCCGCTGCCAGCAGCGGCACACTAAGTGCAGGCCCCGCAGCTTCTTTTCAGGTATAGCTGGGGAAGATCAGCTTTGCTCTTCACTTTGGGCTGGCAGGCATGAAAAACAGGCCAAGAGTCCAAGCTGAAGTCCCTGTTTCCTCCCCTGAGAACCTGCTGGGGGGGGGGGTGCGTGCCTGGGATCAAATGGATATACCTCAGCAAAAGGGAAGGAAGTAAGTCAGGGGTTTTGTAAGAAGAGTGAGCCATCCAAAGAGCCAACAAGAAACCTAGGGCTTTGAGAAAGGACAGAAGAGGGACATGCTGAGGAAAACACAAACATGGGTGAGGAAGGAACATCATGGGTCAGTTTCAGAGGCTAGTCAGCCCCTGCAGAAGTGAACTTGCCTGGCACAGAATGACGGGACAGAGGGGGAGCAGGCATGTCCCTGCGTGCCTGTCTGGCATGGGAACAGGATACCAGTGGGCTTGATGTATGCAGTTGTACCACACTGGGGATTGCCCTGTGAGACTCCCGAGTCATTTCAAAGCACAGCTGGTGCTGGAGGCCCTGGCTGACTCGTAAGCTCAGCTTTCTAGAAGGAGAAAGTCTAGCAGTCTCTGCAGACGAAGGATGGGAGTAGCGGTGAAGAGAGGGAAGGGTGTGTAGAAGCAGTAACCACAAAGAGCTTACAAACTTCAGGGGACGAAGATGCAATCAGTGTAATTTCCGTAACATTCTTCCATAAGGAAAAGCACTGTTCCAAATGCCCCCGTGACCTCTCTTTGTACCCTTTACAGGGGAATGATAAAGTCAACCCTTCTCTTGCCAGCTGGGAGGGAGCAGAATTCTCCCCACTCCATGTGTAGACAGCTCAGAGAGCAGCATGAGCTCAAAACATTTTCCCGCTTCTGCATTTTCTCCCTTCCGCTGGCCCTGAATGACAACCTGCTGGGGCTCGGAGTCCTGAGGTGGTGAAGTATGGTCTTGTGGAAACTGATCCCTCATCAGAACATTTGGAAACATTCCTTCACATGTCAGGCCTCGTAAGCATTTCTCTTTTGACCCTCTGTGGTGAAGGAGGGGTTAAAAGAAGGCTCTGACTATCTTTAAGCTCACCTTAGCCCCCATTTTGACGTGGATGAGGATGCCACAGTGGCCATCGAGTCCCATGCTTCATACTGTATGCACATTGATCTGAGTTGCTGAGAAAACTCCCATAAAGCGGTATACTGAGAAAGACTGACCATGATCAAGACCTTGGTTTTTCTTTCTCTACTTCAGCCAAACTTCTCCACAGGCGCTTGAGACTTAGACGGTCCACTAATCAGCCTTATAACCGAGAGCCAGGCCTCTGCATAGAAATGACTTTGTATAGCTCCTGAGTGAAATCCCCTGGGGGACAGAAGATGCCCAGGGCTTTAGCAATCGCAACATAACAGCCTCAGTATGAGAACAGAAGACAAGCGGGCTCTGACATCCCAATTGAAACTACAGGCTGAATCGGACATAGAGGAATGTAATTACCTTTTCTGGTCTGACGGTACACTAAAGAAACTGGAGAAGTGGGATACCTATTAGGTCCCCACTAATCCTCCTCCGAAATTCAAAGCAGGGCTAGTCCCTGGAATTCATTTCTGAGTATTCTTACTCCCTGCCATTGTTAGGCAGCTCAATTGGTAAGTGCTCCCAGCTCATAATGCTTTCTACTTAGCTCTCCCCTTCTTCGTTCCCAGCAGCTCAAAGCACTTTACAAATATCACCTCATTATTCTTTATAGCACTCTAGCGAGCCTGATAGGTGGAGAGGCTCATTATCTTCTCCTTAGCAATCGGGGAAATAGACAAAGGAAGAAGTAACTCGCTGAAGCCAGCAAAGGGAGGCTGGACTGGAAGGACGGCTCAGCCACTCTCCTGACTCCAAATGTGCACAAGTCCCATGGCAGCCCGTAAAACTCATCTGCTGGCAGGGTGGGGTTTTCTCCTAAGCACTGTTTTGTAATCTGCATGTCTGGAGGAAGGTTCAGCACTGGGGTGGAGGGGAAAGAGTGAGAGTCCGGATGGGGGCTACATTCAGATGGCGATACTTAGTTCAGACAAGGCTCTTCACCGGAGTCTCGGCGCCTTGCTTAGGAAAAGAGGTGCTTAGGTTGGGGGCCCCTTCCTGCTCTTTCAAGATAGCTGAGGAAGGAGTTTCAGAAGACTGCTTTCAGAGCACCGCCAATCCCTGTGACCATCTAGGCCTTGTTCCTTTTGTAAACCTGAAGTGGTACCCTTGTCTCTTTATAGAGTGCGCCACGTCATCCACTATCCACCAATGGCAGCAAGCAACAGATCAGCTGGTGTGGCCTGGCAAAGCAGAGAAGTGGCCCTGATGTGTTATGGTCAAATCAGATGGAGACACGCTGGGAACAGGAAAATACTGAGAGGGTCAAAAAGGGAAGAACTGGTAAACCAGATCGTGAGCTGAGCCTCGGACTGAACCAGGAACATATCCTACATTCCATGGAACTTATAGTAAGTCCTCCAAAGCACGGGGAGGCCCTGGAACAATAGGACTTGATTTGGCTTTCCCACATAGAGGATTTACCATGCGAACAATAGCCCAGTGTGCCCTGTAGTGGCAGTTTTCCATTTACCCAGAATTTCATTTTAATGAAAAAGCACTGATCTTCAAGTTAATTAAAATTGGATTATACAGGTTTCATAGTTTATAATTTGGTGCAGGAGCTCCATAAGCCCGAACCTTTAGAAAACCTGCCATAGCTCATGTCTGTGATCTTCAACACGTACTTTTCCTAACTGATGCCTTGCTGCTCATACAACAAAGAGTTGGAGAGGTAAGACTGTAAAATCAGCATTTGTTTGTAGAAGCAACTCCTGCCACAAGACCAGCGATCTTGGATAACAGTAAAGAACAATGGTTTGGGGTGGCGGGGTGACTATGGGGACCGGAGCTAAAGGACCGACTACGCAGCCTCCAGGAGCAGCACATTTTTGTAGTAATTAGGTTGTTTCTGTTGGCCCGATCTTTGCATTCACCATGGGAACTGAGTCAAGTTTGCTTGCTTTTCCCGCAGAGACTACAGAACACTCTCCTTTACACAGAGTAAAAGGAATAAAGAAAAAATATCTCTGGAAAGTCAGAGGCGTCGGTGTGTGTGTGTGTGTGTGTGTGTGTGTGTGTGTGTAGGATGCATTGTATTTATATCCACGTCCAGCTGTACAGCCACCAACTGCCAGCTCTGTTCTATCTGTGCTCTCTGAGGACCTCAGCCTGACCTTGTGAAACCCTACTTTCTGGGAAGTTAAGGAATTTCCAGGATTAGCTCAAATCTTGAGGCTGCCAAATGTGACAATCTACAAAGCCGTCTTAGGTAATGATTCAGACCCCACTGCTGGTCGAAGCCAACATGGTCCCCAGTGAACTGGAAATACTCTATTTCCTGGATGCAGATTATAATGGGAGTTGACCCCGGAAGAATTCTGGAAGAGCAAGCCTTGGCATTTCTGCTGCATACTACAGATTCAACAGCTGATACCAGAGACAACTGAAATGTAATAAAACCTGAAAAGCAGGGTAAAGAGGTCATCAGAAACAAGTTTGAAAAAGAACACCACAAGGAAAGGGGGGTGTGGTATGTTAACGACAACAGTGGTTAATCTCATACATTTCACATCCAGGACAGCCTGTTTTGGGAGGAAATACCTGGCGAATCTCTCCTGAACTGAGTTTCCGAACACTCCAGCAGAAGTCCAAGTTTCTAACACTGATTAGATAAATGCCAGATTCCCCTCACAGTTCCAAATTGGAAAGCAATGAATTGGTACTTTGGGCTAGCCAGATAGGAGTTAGCCCTCAGATCCACCCAGGAACAGGACCGGCACAGGAGGCCATCATCTTTCCCTCTACCTCCTAGACACTGCAAATATCTGGGTAGTGATGCAACTTCAAAATAACTCCCTCTGTGGACAGAACTAGAACGCCTCTAACATTCATCCTCCGAGCTTCCCCATAACAACTGTTTCTCTGCAGGGTTGGCTGCGGCGATTTCTGACTACAGTGTATTCTCTTCCTTTCTGGCTTCACTGAATCCTAGTCCCCAAGCGTGCCTAACAGTGCCTGGGGAGTCTCAGCTCACCATAAGAAGCCTTACTGGTCAAAATAATCAAATGCTTTTCCCACCCCTATAAGGCAGAATTCTACTGACCCAGCTGACCTCAGAAACCAAGGATATTCAAGAGCTCTAATTCAAAACATAAGGACAAAGACCCCAAATGTGAAGCCTTAGCAAGAAACACGCACATAAACAAGTCCACAGCTTAAATCCATAGAGTAAGCACCTAGGACATTAAGAAGGTAGCTTTTTTTTTTTTTTAACAGAAATGGTCAGACATTTTTCTCACCATCTAACATTTTCAATCTACTTAGCAACCCAGCTCAGCAACTCGATCCATAACAACGCTTCCACAATGTTAGCTGAGGAAGTTTTAAGACTAGTCAGCATCTTCAAGGAACTTTTCATTCAAGGACTCCAAAATGTTACGTAAGAATTATTTCTTCTGATCCCAAACAGATGTGGGGAAGGAGCTGTTCATCCGAGAAGTAAAGGACAGTTTACAGACTTAAGTTATAGAGCAAGCCAGGCTTGAGCAGAGATTCCAGCAAGCCACTTTCAGAATTAGGAGTTCCTAATCTCTAACACATTAGCAGATACCTGTGTGAGCTACAAAGAAACTTAGAGAAGTCTTTGAGAAAGAAGGGGCCTCAAATATCTGTGCTCCCTAGTGACGCGGGGCAGTTTGGGAACCTTCTGGAAATCTAAGTAGGATAGGCCAATTCTAGGACAATTAATATAAATACTGACCTGTGTTCTTAGCTTTGAAAAGTATCTTCCCCTGTCCTGTATTATCTTTTGGCTCAAGCCCAAATGCACCCTCTTTCAGAAGACTAATATTTAGAGCATGTTGGTGTAATAAGCAGAGTGGAAAATCACAAATTGTTTGTATGGTATGATTTAAATTTAGAGAAAAAAAATCCCTCACTCCAAGTGTTTATACACGTACAGTTTCTGAGTCAGCATCTTATTATGCAAGAAGCAAGAAAGAGGTGTCCTTTGTTTCCGGACTGGCCTTGAACACCTGATCCTTCTGCCTCAGCTTCCCTTGTGTTCAGATTACACACATGTGTCACTGAAGTGGGATCATAATCTTCATTTTCCTTTTTCAGTCATCTACGTTTTTCTTGTTTTACTTATTTTTATCATACAGAGTTATATGCATTTTGTGTAAGCATATTTTATATCACTATACAAAGCACGGATCAACTTCACAAACAATATGGAGCAAAAGAACGGATACCAGAGACAGAAGCTGCTATGCGACACCGCATAGAGTTCAAACTTAGACAAACCAGTTTGGGGATATACAGGAGCCTACACGTGGGTGGTTACTCTGGGGAGGAGAAGGGAAGATGGGACAGGATAACCCCAGGAAGGGTGTCCTGGAGACCACGGCTGCTCTGCTTCTTCCCCTGGGTGTTGGCCACACATGTGTGCTCCTGGAGAAAGTTAGTGATGATGTAACTGTATAACGCATACCCATTTCTAGTCGTTTATCACACTTAAAAAAAATCACTCAGAACATAGAAGGTACCACCTCAAAGGCTTCTCCATACTATACTTTTAGGAAGTCCAAGGGAGTGGCTGGTTGCACACAGGGAGAGAGAATTCAAACTGTACTTTCAGTTGTACAGTTGTTTTCTTAGAGAGGTGTTTATGACAAGGAAGAGACACTTCTGCTTTTCCAGCTCTGAGAAAGGGGCTCTGCAATCTGCTTCCATTAACCAGGAAGGAAAACACGAGCTGACATCCGCAAAAGGTCACGACATGTGGAGATTAGTGGCGTTTGACCCTCCCTGACAGTACAGGATTGATGGTGACTCTGAAAGTCTGTGTTTTCATTCAGTTCAGGCTCTCCGGAAAGGTTGATACTGGACCAGATACATCACACTGGGAGCTACACTTCTAGAACTAAGCCAGAATTTATGAAAACAAGGGGCTGAATCTTCTAGAATGGAACTCTGAGAAGAACCTTGTGTCCTCGGTTCCTAATGCTACTTCTTATTAACAGAACAGAGGCTCAAGGAATAGTTTTGACTTGTATGAATGTTTAAATCTCTGTTCAAAAAGAAAACTGGAATGCTCCAGCTCAAGTGGAAGTTACTGCAAACGGGAAGGGATGTGACAGAATGACCCATGCTGGATAGAAGATTGTCTGTCCAGCATCCCTCAAGGATGCTAAGGAACTGACCAAGGCGCGATGGGGCTTCAGTAGCTGTATGCATCTAAAATTTTTATCAGTTATGTGAAAACAAGTGAAATAAATGCTAAGATTTTATTTCAGTTAGCAAACTATGTCCAAATCACTATCAGATCAATGTGTAGTCAATATAGACGTTAATATATTTCACACGATTTCTCCCATATGAACCCTCTGAAGCAATGTGCATTACACTTCAAACAGGTTTCAAATGCTCAGCAGCCATGCAAGGCACTGCAGGTCTAGGAGGCTTCCACTGGGGGTGGTGGAGGAGTCCTCTATGTGACCGAGGGTTTACAGAAAAATGAACTTCATTGTTAACAGTGTTTCCACCTCGTCCTGCAGTCGGCTGCATCCAAATCCTCCACTTTTCTAGACACCCAGTGTCCTTGTGGCAACTTCACTTTCTGCTTTCCTACTTTGAGTATGGTTTCTGTCACAGGCAATAAAAGCAGACGGAGATAGAGAAGGCGTGCCTATGGGTACATCCTGTTTAAGTGGTGGCATGCCTGTCAAAAAGCAGACGTTCAATAAGCACAGTTGGATTTATAAACTAAGAAAGTTATTAAGAAAAATGTGCCACCATTTTATTCTTGGCTTCCCAGGGCATTTGCCATAGGTTACACAATCAATTTTGTCAGCCTCCTTTGTGAATGAATGAACCCAAGTCTAGTTCCTATTTGAAGAATTCCAGGTGCATTTGCTGTAAATTCTGAATCAAACAGGAGTTTAATAAGGTGCAGGCCTACGAGATACCTGGATACTATCCACCCGAGACGGCTACAATGTAAAAGAAACTAAAACAACAGCCTTCCTATCAGCCAGCACGCTCCTGCTTCATCTCAGCTCTTGTCTTCCCGCCAGCATGCATTTATTTCTGTGTCTCCAGCTAAACACGGAATTGGAGTCTGAGAGGAAACGGGTCAGTGGTTGATGTCTTCTGTGGGAAAAGCCACAGCCATCCCTGATACCTGAACCCAAATCCTTAGCTATTTCATGACAACATTAAATGTGGCTGTTTCAGGACCAGGGTTCCTTTCCCTCTGAGAGACCCAGAGACAGTCTCCTCTCAGCTACACACTAGTCAGTCATAGAGCGAGCTTTGGGCATTTTAGGTTGTAAAGGCTACCCTGGGCTGGCTCGAGACTGTCTTTGCAGGTGGTATAGGGTAACTTGAAAGGCCAGACCAAATGAGAGGCACAGACAATCTCCTTCACTGAGGGGCAGGAACCCTCCTGCGACCAGGAGGGCCAGTGCTAACGGGCATGTGCAATTAGTGGTTTTGGAGGATCTGGGGAGGGCATAGGGGAGCTCACTAGGCATTGTGAGGGCTGAGACAGGAAGAACCAGAAAGAGCAAATTTGCCACTGTAACGTCTGTAATGGGTCCCTGTGTGGGGTGTAGGAGGGAACTCAAGAGAATTTACTGTAAATCTAGCTATCTAGAGAGCTGTTAAACATTCAGTGGGTGTCTTTCAGCCAAAAAGGGAACCAGGAAAGGCATACTATTGCTCCATGTGCATGAGTCAGGGTCTTGGAAATGCCTGTATCTTGCACAGATCACTCACCCTGTAAGTGGGGAACTTAATGCATTTGCCTATGAAGATGAACTGTAGGCTGTTCCTGGTAGGAAGCTGAAGTGAGTCAACATTCTCTAACACCCGAACGTTCTGTTCTGCTCATCCCGATTATGAGTGGGATGCGCGCGCACACACACACACACACACACACACACACACACACACACGACCTGGCATAAAAGC